TACAGTTCCTCATGTTGTGGTGACCCCCAATTTCATTGTTACAAATTGAACATAATTAAAGCATAGTGATTAATCACAAAAACAATATGTACTTATATATGTGTTTTCTGATGGTCTTAGGTGACCCCTGAGAAAGCCCCTTTTGAACAAAGGGGTCGCGACCCACAGGTTGAGAACCGCTGCTCTAGGGGTTGCAAAAATGCCCAGGGAGGCTGGTTAAAGTCGCCCATCCATGGCCCGGGAAGCCATGTCCCACCCCAGGCGATGAGGGGGAGCTCCTTGTCCACACCGTGTCGCCAGGTCCCTGCAGGGCCCGGCAAGTGTTGGGAGGATGAACAGAGGAGCCCGTGTGGAGCCGCGTTCACCAGCTGCGCCTCATCTCCGCTGAGCTCACGGAGCAGAGAAACGGGAACTCCTGCTCCAGCCCCGGGCGCCCAGCTGACTTCAAAACGGTGTTCATTTCACGGGTGAAGTGAGGGCTGTGGTGATTCTTGAAAAGTACCATGTTCACCTGGTTGCAAGTTCAATAGGGGCTGCTACCAAGTCTCCCTCCTTCGGTCTCTCGCCCACTCGGTTCCCTTACTCGGGGGCAGAGCCTGTGGCATCAGTTTCTTCTCTGTCTTTCCAAATCAATGTGTGTGCGACCCTGCAAACATGTGTGTATATCCTCCCCTCCTTCGTCTACATAAATGGCAGGATATGCTACACAGTATTCCTTACCTGGCTTTGTTCACTTCACAGTACAATTCACACAGAAGGTCTTCGTATCAGTATGTAAAAATCAGCCTCATCCTTTTTAATGGCTGTATACTATTCCACGCAGGGCTGTCCCATCATAGAGACATAGAAGTGGTTGTTTTCCATTTTCAGCCCTGACCCACGACACTGCGATGTAACAGCTAACAGCAAGGTGGACGTAAGCTGGGTATTGAGTAAAGGCTGCTCAGTCAGCCAGGCTTCTTAAATTTGGGACTAAAAGTAAAGATATGGTGGCTTTGTTTTGGGGGTTCTCGGAGGCAGGGGGTTGGCAAGGAGACCCTAAAAGCCCCTCTGGTTGGGTTGAAAGTGGCAAAATTGATCAGGCAAGTGGTGTTCCACACATCTGTGCTCTCTTCACACAGCTGGCCAGAGGGGCTACAGGGCAGTGATGGTTAGGTGGGATGGGGAGGGGTTCTGGGAGCTCTGTGGCTCCCAGTCCTCAGAGAGCCCTGCTTAATGCCCGGGCTCTGTGTGAGCTTAGTGGGGCGGGCACCCTTGATTTTCCTGGGCTTGAGAGGGACTTGGAGAGATCTAGAGGGGGTCCTGCTCCCCCTCCACTGGGGCTTCCTGTTCACCCCTGAACCCCCAGCTCTCATAGGAATCCTGGACATAGTAGATGCTCAATAGATTCTTGGGCAGCAAATGACTAACTGACCCCCACCCCACCTCCATCCCATAACCCATAGGCGTCGACGGGGCTCTCCAACCGAAACGAGGGGTTTGCACCCACAAGGCAGTTCTGCAGGGGCTGGCCCACAGCTGCGGGCGCTATTGAGTGCAGGGAGTTCTCCAGCCACTCCTCGGTGGTCAAGCCCCATGGCTCCTCAGGTCACTGTGGCGTGCGCCCCTTGACCCCCACACTCACCCCCACCCCCAGCTGCTGTGATGGCTCTCAGCAAGGCCTCCTGGAACCGGCTACTCCCACTCCCCAAGGCTACATCCCCTCCTGGGGGGCAGCTACATGCGATGTGGGGGACAAAGGCCAGACGGCTCCTCTTAATTCAGGACAACTCTGAGGGCCATCCCAGCCCCAGAGCTTCCCAGGGGATTACCCGAAACTCTGTGGCCTCCACTTCCCAGCCCATCCTCTCCCACTGCTCCCCACGCCCCCTCCCAGGTGTGGGTCCTGCGAGCCCCCTCCCCACCCCAAGCCTCTGGCGGGCCAGTCTCCCTCTCAGAATCAGGGATCAGACAGTCGCCAAACAATCTCCGTTCAGAAGTTCAGAAGTCCAGACCCACACAAAAGAAAACCTTCAAACTCGGGCTTGTAAAGGGAAGTTTTTCCCATTAGGCCCTAATGATTAGGGTTTAGTGCAGTGGTTCTCAACCTCTGGCCCTTTAAATACAGTTCCTCATGTTGTGACCCAACCACAAAATTATTTTCGTTGCTACTTCATAACTGTAATGTTGCTACTGTTATGAATCATAATGTAAATATCTGATATGCAGGATGGTCTTAGGCGACCCCTGTGAAAGGGTCGTTCGACCGCCAAAGGGGTCGCGACCCACAGGTTGAGAACCGCTGGTTTAGTGGAGGAATAAGGCTTGGGGCTGTGGGAAGGGGACACCGGCTTCCTTCTATCCTTTCTGCCTGCCCAGCTGGGAGGGGTGGTTCCTGACCTGCAGCTGATTGAATAACAGCCCCCAAAGCTATCAGGCCCCGATCCCCGGAACCTGCAGGTCTCATCTGGCAAGAGCCTTTGCAGATGTGACCGAACCTGCAGGTGTGACCGAGTCTTTGCGATGGGACCTTACCCTGAATCATCTGGGTGGGCCCTGAATGCAATACAAGTCTCCGAACCCCCTCAGAGGAGGTTGGACGCCCTCAGAGGAGAAGGCGCTGTGACCACACAGGCAGAGATTGGAGTGACGCAGCCACCAGCCCAGGCAGCTGGCAGCCACCAGAGGGAGGAAGAGCCGAGGAACAGACTCCCCTGGGGCCCTCGGAGGGGACCGGCCCTGCCGACACCTCGACTTCAGCCCCGTGGAGCGGAATTCGGACCTCTGGCCTCCAGGACTACGAGAGAATGAATTTCTATGTTCTTAGCCACTCCGTTTGTGGTGATCTGTTACCGCGGCTGCAGGAGACTAACCTGTGGCCCCTGGGGGAGGGGGGGGCAGGCAAGTGAGGCTCTGTCACAGGATGGCCCCGGCTCTGTGGGGCGAGGAGGACTGACACCTGGTGCTTTCTCCACCTGGGCTTCCCTGGCTCCTCCACAGAAGCCCCCCCAACCCCCCCTCCCATGAATGGTTGGGGGTGCTACCTGCAGGTGTGACCGAGTCTTTGCGATGGGACCTTACCCTGAATCATCTGGGTGGGCCCTGAATGCAATCACAAGTCTCCTTGTGAGAGAGGAACCCCCTCAGAGGAGGTTGGACACCCTCAGAGGAGAAGGCGCTGTGACCACACAGGCAGAGATTGGAGTGACGCAGCCACCAGCCCAGGCAGCTGGCAGCCACCAGAGGGAGGAAGAGCCGAGGAACAGACTCCCCTGGGGCCCTGCCGACACCTCGATTTCAGCCCCGTGAAGCGGAATTCGGGCCTCTGGCCTCCAGAACTACGAGAGAATGAATTTCTATGTTCTTAGCCACCCGTTTGTGATTTGTTACCGCAGCTGCAGGAGACTAACCTGTGGCCCCTGGGGGCGGGGGGGGGGGCAGCAGGCAATCGAGGCCTCAGCTCCGGGCAGCCCTATCAGCCAGGTTTGGGGATGACCTCACACCAACATCCTCTTGCACAGGCACCTTTTTTGCTTCGTAAGAAATGCTGACGCATCGTGCCCAGCACTGCGGTAGGGGAGCTGCTGCTTCTCTCCAGCGAGGCAGGAGGCAGGAGGCAGGAGGCAGGAGGCAGGAGGCAGGAGGCACATCTCCCCAGGTTCATGGTCCCTTTCTCCCTAGTGCGAGGGCAGGGGGATAGAGCCCGCAACCCAGGCATGCGCCCTTGACCAGAATCAAACCCAGGACCCTATCCACTGAGTCAAACCAGCCAGGGCATCATACCTCCGTTCTCTGCAGCCTGAGGAGGCCTCTGCTCCGGGCAGCCCTATCAGCCAGGTTTGGGGATGACCTCACACCAACACCCTCTTGCACAGGCACCTTTTTTGCTTCGTAAGAAATGCTGACGCATCGTGCCCAGCACTGGGGGCGGGGAGCTGCTGCTTCTCTCCAGCGAGGCAGGAGGCAGGAGGCAGGAGGCAGGAGGCAGGAGACACGTCTCCCCAGGTTCATGGCCCCTTTCTCCCTAGTGCAGTGGTTCTCAACCTTCTGGCCCTTTAAATACAGTTCCTCATGTTGTGACCCAACCATAAAATTATTTTCGTTGCTACTTCGTAACTGTAATGTTGCTACTGTTATGAATCGTAATGTAAATATCTGATATGTAGGATGGTCTTAGGCCAGTGGTTGGCAAACTCACTAGTCAACAGAGCCAAATATCACAGTACAACGACTGAAATTTCTTTTGAGAGCCAAATTTTTTACACTTAAACTATATAGGTAGGTACATTGTGATTAACTTAATGAGGGTACTCCTAAGGCTTAGGAAGAGCCACACTCAAGGGGCCAAAGAGCCTCACGTGACTCGTGAGCCGCAGTTTGCCGACCACGGTCTTAGGCGACCCCTGTGAAAGGGTCATTCGACCGCCAAAGGGGTCTCGACCTACAGGTTGAGAACCGCTGCTGCCCTAGTACGAGGGCAGAGGCCTCGCATGCCCATCTTACCCACCCGTGTCCTCCACGAGCCACGGGACAGCAGTACCTCTGGGCGTCTGAGCACCCAGCTCTCTGAGCCAAGACCCGGCCTCCATTTCAAAGACCTCAGGTCGTCATGTTTTATTTCCTATTGCGGAATCTATGTCCCCATGTCAGGGCCATACAAGAAAATATGCAAAAAGGACACAGAAGAAGGGACTAATGAATCCATCCCACAATCACCCAGGGCTCCTACTGTGCACCCCACCCTGCTAGGTGGTCCTGCTTCAGGGGCTTTCAAGCTGGAGGACTGAAACGATCGAGGGAGGACAGGCGGATTCGCTAACCCCTGGGCTCACCGACACACAGTCAAACCCGTATGTCCCCTTTGGGCTCTTGCATCACCCATCTGCTGCCTTTTCCCCAAAGCACAACATGAACGGCATCCAATTCTCAGGCGCAGGCAGGAACACCGGCCTTCAAGTTTGCAATGTTCGGTTCAACCATGACAGCGAGTGAGAGTGAATGAATGGTCGCTTGACTTCATGTACAAAGTGATTATTATGAAACTTTATTGCAGCTTCTCACAGCAGAACTGAGTTTGCAATGCCAGGACCATCTTGGGATCTTCAGAGGGGACACGGGACAGAAGCAAGCCACTGCCTGGAGGGGGGCCTCCCCCTGGGGAGCCAACGTGTCCCCAAGAACTCTTGTTATGCCACACTGCAGGGGACCAGAGCCTCTGGCCAGGAGCTTCCCAAGGAAGAGGACGCCTAGGGGACAGGCTCAGGGCACCATGTGCCACCACTTGAAGGAGAAGGGCTGGCGGCGCACGTTGGTCCCGCAGTGCACCTCCCCGTGCTGAAGGTGGTACGGGGTGAAGTCGTCGATGAAGGTGCAGTGGAGGCCCAGCGGCTCCAGCAGGGACCGCACCTTCTCCTCCAGGCAGCAGCGGCCGTTGATGATGGGCCCGAAGGGCTTGGGGATGCCCAGGTACTTGCCCAGCACCAGCATGTTCACCTGCAGAGCGGGGAGGTCAGGTCAGGGGCGGTGGCGTGCAGCCTGCATCACTATCCCAGCGCCCCCTCCTTCTGACCTTCGGAAATAACAACCCCATTTCACAGATGAGAAAACTGAGGCCCACACGGTATAGTGGGCTACCCAAGACCACCAGCTAGTCTAGGACTTCCACCCAAGTCTGTCAGACTCTGGGACCCAGGCTCCTTCCCCACCCACCACCTTCTGGCCAACTCTATTACTCAACTGAGCTCAGCTCAAATGCCACCCCCTGTGTGAAGGCGCCTGTGAATCCCCAACTCCTCATGGATGTTCCCATAGCTCCAAGCACAGTGCCTGGCACACAGTAGGCACTTAATAAATATCCGTTGAATGGATGAATGTGACGACCTCTTTGTAGCACTTTCTGTCTATTATCACTGATGCAAATGGCTGTTTCCTCCATTATACTGGGAGGTGGCCTAGTGAGATGGAAAGACTAGGATTTGGCTCCAGGCCAACGTGGGTTTGGATCTCAGCTCTACTACTCAGTAGCTGTGTGACCTCAGGCAAGTCCCTTGCCCTCTCTGAGCCTCATCAGCAAAATGAGCCCTACCCTGTTGTCATCGCTATGACAACACAGTAGGTGCAGAGTCAGTCTCCAGGGCTCATGAATCACTGACGAGGTATCTCATTGCCAGCGCTCAGACACAGCCCACACTGAGAGCCCTGCACGCTTAATTTCTCTGCCTGTTCCCCGCCCGCGCCCACCTCCCACTGCGGGCTATGGGAGAGCGAGGCTTGTGCGGAGCCTCCCTGCAGGGGCCTCAGGCGGTGAGGCCCAGAGCCAGCCCTCTCACAGCATTTGAGACCCTCACCCCCCCGCAGGCGGCATCAGCCTTCTTTCCGGAGCTGGGAGACCTGGCTGGGCCCGAGGGAGAGAAACAAATGCTTGGGGCCAAGGAGTTATGTCCCGGGGGTGAGAAGAGGTGCCCCCTCCTGCCTGGTTTTGGCCAAGGAGTCCTTTATTCTAAACAAAACCTTCTGCAGAACTTCAGTGCATAAAACAGAAGAAATCGTAACCACTGGATTTGAGAGGCACTGCCATGGAACCCTAGCATCCTGGGGAACCCAGTCTGAAGACCACTCTGCTTCTTCCTCAACTATAACCCCAGCTCCAGCAGGAGGGGGAGGGGGCAGAGGGGCCCCAGTAGAAGTGGGTGAAGTTACTTTGAAGAGACAGAGTAACAGGTGGAGGAGCGGTAAAAACACAGCCAGCGAGGTAAGATGGGGCTTGGGTCACAGTTAAAATTTCTCCACAAAAAGGTGGGGCCCCTCAAGTCCCCCCGTCAGACAGGTGAGTGCCCCCCAGCACTGCCAATGCCACCTCCTCAGAGAGGCCTTCCGGCCACCCAGTCTGAACAGGTGCCCCACCTTTATTTCCTTCATGGCACTTCACCCAACCTGGGAGCATTTTGTTTGCTGTGTGTGTCCCCCAGCCCACTCCTACCTCATCCCACACCCCCCCCCCCCCCCCCCCCCCCCCCCCCACCCCCCCTGCCTAGTGGTTAGAGTGTGGGCTCTGCCGTGGACCCCTGGCTCTGAGTCCCCCCTCTCGCCAGCAGTGTGTTCTTGTGCCAGAGACCCCCCTCCCTGCGCCTCATCTGTCAGTGGGGGTGACGATCATCCCTGACTCCCAGGGTGCCTCTGAGATGCCCACAGGAAGCCGGATGGGCCATGAAAACCCAGGGCATGAGGAGACAACCAAGCCCCGTGGGCCGCACCCAGAGCCCAGCTGGCCTGTCTCACTCAAGGCCACTTCCTCACCATGTTTGGGAAAAGGGCCTCGGCCTTGGGGGTCCCTGTGAAGTCCGTGCGGAGCTTGAAGAGCTGCGGGATGTCCACGATGTCCCGCTCCCGCAGGCCCAGCTCCCGCTTCAGCACCTCCCGGTTCCAGTCGATGCAGCTCTGGGGAAGAGGGGGGAGGAGAGGGTGGTGGGCATGGCCAGGGCTAAAAC